CGAGTAGCACATTCACCCAAGGATATCTGTGCTGTGATAATAATCCAACATTTTGTTGGGCCTTCTTCGTATTTTTAGTTTTGTCTATGCAAGGCATAGTTGCATTACGGCATGAAAAGTTAATGAATGCACGACACTAACCATAGCGTTTGATCCTCTTTTGTATTATTTCTTTTTCCCTTCTTGATTCTGGGATGTAGCTGCTGGTGGTATTGGGTTTGTTTTTCTTTTTGGTAAGTCAAAGATCTTATTGAAGTTCAAACCCAATTTTTACAGGTGCTAAGGGGCATTCCCAAGCAAAACAAACCTACCAGAAGCAAACCCTACACAGCCAAAGCCATACCTCAACAACCAAAAGAAAACGCGAAGAACAACAAAACAGAATCCAACTCCTAGGAGCATACACCTTACTACTAGCCCAGTTGAAGCAAATTAATCTATTTGCATCATATCTCCGGATAGGCCTCCAAGAACTAATCAAGGCTCGCACATCATTTTGCTATTCTGGAAACCAACTGATTCTCAGTAGGGCAAATCCCCTGAAAAATCCTAGAATTCGTCTCCCTCCAAATGTGGTAAATACAAGCTGCTAAAGACAACTTGAAAACCAAGGTGTTGAAGAGTGTTTCCACCCCTATGCAACCCAGCCCATCTCACATCATCTGTAAGCCCTAGACCCTATCTTGGAACCCCATTCCCTACCCAAAAAGGGGACCAAATCCAGGAATAATAGGGGCAAGCAAAGAACAAGTGTTCATGTGATTCAAACCCAACACCACAAAGAGAACAACTGGGATCAGCAGAAATCTCCCACTGGCACAATCAACTCCTAGTGGTTTCCACACCGTACCCCTAGATGGTCCTTTATACAGTGGATGTTCTTTCATGGGAGACTTGCCACTAGAGTAGATTGTCTAGTTGGGGGTGTTGCAGCAAATTCTAGTTTTGTGCTATGCAGTGATACTAAAGAGAGTACTGACTGCCTTTTTTTTGAAGTGTTACTTCTCTTGGTAGCTCTAACCAAAGGGACCATCTTGGATGTTCCTGGGAGGTTTATAGCTATAATGAATGGGGTTGTGCTCCATGCACAAGGAAATTCAGTAGAAGTCCTGATCTTCAAATTGACTGTCTAGCTATCTACTACCAGTGGAGAGAAAGGAACTCTAGAATTTTTGATCAGAGGTATGCTGAGGTTATTGGGAATCTTGTGCAGGATATCAGGGGCGGAGGGACTAAGATACAAGTGGGATCACTCGACCCACTCACTCTTATTTATCACACAAGGATATTTGATAGTTTGTAGCCAAATTTTGTTATATTGACCCCTCAAAATAATTTCTAAATTGCCCCTACTTGCTTTAAATGCATAGAAATTCCAAGAATTCTCATCTCTTCGAGAGTTCATACCATTACGACTGAGGCTATGATGCATCGTTTTCAACATACACTATCCTTGGGGCCGATTGTAAAGCAAAATTATATTTCTCACAGTATATCTACCTTATAATTAATGTCTTAATTTAGTTATTTCGTTGGATTAACAACTTGAAAAATAACTTGCATATGGATATATTATTGACCCCCCTAACATAATTTTTTTTGCCTCTGCTCTATTGGAAGGTAGAGCTTTGTGAAGAGAATAATACGATAAAGGAGTTTTGGGACTTGTCCAGAGCTTTTCATAGGAACTCAAAAACAATATTAGGAGGAGGATTACTCAAGGGTAATTGTTCAATTTTGCTTACTCGTTTCTGGTTATCTTTGAACTGTTTTCATAGTCTTAGTGGCATAGGTTCGTTCTGGTTTTCCTTCTCTGTATTCTCTTGGGTAGTGTGGTAGGTTTGTGAGCGGTGTTGAGGATTTTTCAAGGCATTGCCTTCGTCTTTCTTATTTTGGTGATTTCTGCATGAAACGAACTTTCCAGAAAAAGAGAGGATTGGGATGTGCATACCAGTATGATGAATTTTGGTGCCTGGAAAGCAGAACTTCCCTCTGAATTTGCTCCAGTGAATCCAATACGTGAAGCACGTCGCCATCTGTCACCTAACGTAGTGGATTAGGTTATTCAGGTTCAGTATGAAATTCCTTTCTGCTCTAGTCGAAAGTGTGGGTTGTTGGGTCTTGAAGTGTATTTTCTGCTATGTTAGGGTGACTACTAGAGTCAGTGGAAAGGTACCCACTATAGTGTTAACTGCTCGTTTTCATTTACCCTTGGTGTGGATGCTTTACAATTCCTCTGCTATGGATAGTATGAATATTGCTAGTGACGTGCTTAGGAGGATCCAATCCAAAACAATGTCTTGGCTGGTAGTATCTAGGAGACACATGCTGTAGTTCTGTTGTTGGAGATATAGTTGATTTTGATTTTTAAGAAATTATATATCTTTGAATAAATGTCGTGTTTTTTTATCCTTTAACACTACCTCATTGGAAGGCTTGAGGCCGATGTTTTTTTTCCCCGGTTGGCAGAGCGAAAAAGGGGAATCAGTTCTATGAAGCTGCTTCAGATCCGGCTTAGAAGCGTTCAATCCATAGAAGAGGCCTCTGGGGGAAAGTGGATACTATTTACAGTTGCATATCCTGACCACATAATCCTTGCACATCTTCCTGTAGCAAAGGGCCTTGGCTCAGCGACTGCTACTTCACTTGTTAAGACTTTTAGTCACAGGTCCCGTCTCCAGTTTGGCGAGCGAGTTCATTTTTGTATCTGCTATTGCTATATATGGACGCTTGGTTTTGTTTTGGTCTCGAACTTGTGCTGCATTTTATTCGTTTAAATGGTTTCTCTTGGCTATGTTCACGCGGGGGAGAGAGATCCAGCTTCAAGAACTAATGAATGGACCTAACATGCACAAATGTATCACTCTCCAGGAATTTCAATTGCACAATTGTTCACCATCGTAGAATAATAGCAGCACCCCAGAAAGTAGCAGCAGTAGCATAAGAGAAGCAGACCAGTAGCAGCAGCACACATCATTCCAGGGATCATGGGAGCAATAGAAGCATACATCAACAAAGAAATAGGAAGTATAAATCAAGAAAATGCTATCCAGACCGGGTAGTACCATAGCTGCCAATAGGTAGAGTGGAAGCTAGACTTGAACAAACAAAGATACGTTTCACCAAGAAGAGCTGACTGTGTAGTCCAAAGTCAAAAGACCCCAACCCCCCAATTATGTAAACCAGTAGACACAGGCAAAACAATGAACTGAACCAAAGATATAGACTGGAAAGGAATTTTCATCCATTTGAAGATCAAAGCATTAACCTAAACAAAGCCCAACAATTTGATCAAGTGGGGACACCAAATTCATCCCTTTTGCGGTTCTTTGTTGTGGTCCCCGTGAGCACCTTCCAATGGCGGCCATGTCTGCACATGATCCCATTACTTTTAATTGGAGTTGAAGTGGGCGAGACATTTCATCAAATAGTTAATGGGCACCAAGTAAATAGAGAACAGCGTCACCAAATTGTGGAGGACGACGGAGGCGCCAGAAAGAAGCGGCAACGGATTGCGATTCAGTGTTTGACACTCAAATTCTTCCAATATTCCACACTAAATGTGTTGAGAAAATTTACCAATTGATATCGGGTGGATCCAATTTTTTCCTAGATTGATGAAATTAATCCGTGGTAAAACTTAAACAGTCTTGATTATTAAAATACGTTCGAAATGACATGAAAATTGGGGCTCAAAGGGTTGGAATCTGTTTAGGAATAACATCGCAAGTTGAAAATGCGAAGTTAAGGTCTGACAAAACGCGTGTGTTGGAGATGCGAGTCCTGGGTTTAGGAAAGCCTGCGTTTTAAAAGGCGTCCGAGACGCGGGGATGCGAAACGCGAGTTACACTTCTCATGGCCAACTTGCGAAGTGTCAAGAAGAAGGCTTCTTTCCCTTTTTGCCAATTTTCGAACTTATTTCGGAATTTCTTTGATCATCCTATTCGTCCACATTGTATAAATTATCCTTTTCATTAATCTGATGAATTATCAAGTTCATTGGATACCTACGGGTATATAATCGGTGAAGAAATGTTTCAAAAAAAATGAAAACAAATAGAGCTGGACACACTTGATTATAACCTTATAAAGGGCGACTTTGGTTACAATCTTTTTTTGCAGTTTTCGACCTTATTTTGGAATCGATTTGATGATCGGATTTGTCCAAATTGTAGATCTTGTTTATTAGAATAGTTTGGTTAAATATCAAGCCGATCGAGAACCTACTGGTATTTAATCACAGAAGATATATCTTGAAAAAAAATGGAAAAAAGAAAGTTGTGCACACTTGATTATAACACGCAAGACTTTTTTTTCCTCGGAGGCTTGTGGTCGCAGTACGTTATAACCGTTGCAAATCCAAGTCCACCTTCGCCGCCGCCGATCTGAGCTCCGATCACTGAGTCAAGCCGATAGAGGTGTTTAAGGTACAGTGGGTTGTTGAAGCTAATTCAATTTCTATTAGCGTACATTCTAATATCTTTGCGGGTTTTGATTTTATATGCCTTACGGTATTAGAAATTGATGCAAGGTAGATGCCTCCCACGTGTTTGACACTTGGCTTCTGAAGGAGGTCGGTTTTTGGTCCATGGTTCTTTCATCTGAAGTTTTCCAATTGAGGTTCATTTGACTTGGAACTTCATGGAAGAATGAGAAAGTTTTGGATGACTTGGAACTCCATGGATGAATGTTAATTGTGACTTTGTGTCGGAGTCTTTGTGAATCTACCACTTCATCATGCTTGAATGGGTTGTTATTGCTCTTTCTTCTGTAGTAGTAACGACTATTTGCTGTGACGATGATGATAGGAATGGGAATGGGAATACCCAGTAATGTTAGTCCGGAGTGGAAGAGTAGCAGCACCAGGAGTTGAGAAAGGAGAGAAATAAAACAAAGGAAAAAAAAAAGAATAAAGATCCCCCCCTTGGGAATGAAATTCTGCTCCCTGTCCCCCTTTTCACAGAGAATGGAGAGATGAATTGATGTATTTTGAAAACCGTCGGGACTGACGGGGATCGAACCCGCTGCTTCCGCCTTGACAGGGCGGTGCTCCGACCGATTGAACTACAATCCCAGGAAAATTAGGTGTATAGCCGAAAACCCGAAACTATAGAATCATGCTTCACCTGGCTGCAGCAGCAGACACCCAAGCATCAACTCACCCTTTCGAATAAAGCTGAGCAAACCAAAGGTTATCACTGCTTGCTTCTCACCCTACTCGGCTGGCATGAGTGAAGTAGATGTTAACATTTCACGAGAGTGGAAGAGCTTATTTCACACGAAACCAATCCGAAAAGAAAGATATGAAAAATACCAACGATCTCTAGAACTATTATCAAAACGAAGTTCTCTTTTAGTTTTTTTGGTGGAGGTCAAATGGAAGAAGAAGAGAAAATCGTGAAAGGTGATGATGATGTTGAATTGGATGCAACATTGGAGGGTTTGTACATGGGAGGATCATTGAAGGTAAGGAACATGCTTATTTAGCAAATTCTAAAGCCCTTCAGCTATCGATAAAGTTGCCTATAGCCTATTTAGTATAGCAAGATGCATAGTAAATTTGATTATGAGTGCCAATTTGTTGCAAATCTTGACATGGCAGTACAATTGAATTTGAAAAAAGTCCTCTTCGATGTCTTGCAGTAACCAGTGTGACACACCACCTTTACTAACTGGAAATTGGAATTACTTAGGAAATAGTCACCACTTTTAACCCTTATGAGATATATTTTGGAGTTTAATATTCGAAGCCAGAACCAGACCATGTACTCCATGAGCAAATCAGTCCCGGAATGTTTCAGCTGATGACTCAGCAGATGTGTGGTTTTGATGATCTTGCAAGAGAAACCTTTGTAAATATCGTTTGTGAACATTTTAATGTATACGGTCTGATGCTGCTGCATAATGATTAGGTCCAATCATTGAGAGGCGATTGTGATTTGTTATTTTGGCAGTTATACTTTTAGATATTACTATATATTTTTGGAGCTAGCGCATTGTCCTTGCTTCATCTGCCGTTTCATGGCCTTTCTTTCATCTTACCAGTATTCTGATGCTACTGTTGGACTTCTTAAATCCTTTCATTATATCCTTTCAGGTCTGCAAACAATGTCCAAATGTGAAATATGGGAGGGAGGGGTATTTCTTCGTCGCTGTTGATGGACAAGCAAGGTTTCGCCGTCTTTATTCTGATTCAAGATATTTGACTTCAGTAAACGAAAATTCCACACTTCCGGCACATTTGGTTAAATGTCATAATCTCGTTATATCCATTCATGTGTCAGCTCCATCGTATTGTTGACGCATGTACTATAGCTGGTGTTCTTGCCCATACTCTTAAGGAGTTCCACTGTAATTTTTGCCCGCTCAAACTATCATAAATCTCGAGGGTCGTACTTATAGGAGTAAATCTAGGTGGTATTTTGATGTCTTGCGAAAACATGATGGTTTGTTACAATAGAATGGTGTATGTGAAATGTAGATGTTTCTCTTGCATGATTCCCACTTTATAATACAAGGCCGGAAACATCCCAAGTCGACCATAGTTGTTGGCGGGTATCAGGAAGGCACCCGTGGTCATAATTGTCTGGCGAGGATCTCTAGTGATCAGCCCGTTCTGAAAAGCATCATTGAAGCTCTACACTAGGTTCAAGTTCGCCTTGGTTATATTGGCTTTATGCCAACCAGCCTTCGCAAAACTTTGAAGAGAGATACAAAGAGGAAAAGATAGTTGACAGTGCTCAGTCAGAAGATATACGTAGGAGTTAATTGGGTGATAAAATCTACAAATTGCATAGCTCATTCATGATTTCGGTCCAAAATGTATCTAATTGGTCCTTATTGGACTGTTCATTGCAAATTTTGATTGAAAATCATGCGTGAATTCGTTTGTTTTGTCTTTTCCCTTCAATAAGTATTGGATTCTATGGAGTTTCATGATCTGAATTCCGTTTTTCTTCGGGTGCAAGCTCTTGTTGGCTATGAGGAAACAATTAAACATCTTGATGAGCATTTAGTGGATATAAGCACTAAGGTGAGCACCGTATGTTCTCCGATGCTTCCTTTCATTTGACTGACATGAAACATTGCAGCAACTATTTGCTGATGCATTACTGTTTTCACTGCTCAGGGAGTCACTAAGCCCAAAGAAGTCAGAAAATTTAAAGGTGAAGGGATGCCATTGCACTATAGCACACGGAAAGGGTGACCTATATGTGACATTTGAGATTCTTTTCCCAGCTTCACTAACAGAAGACCAGAAAATGAAGATTAAGGCGATTCTCGGTTAAGGATTTGACTTCATTTTTCTTGGCTACTCTTCTCTAAGATGTTGCGGTTGTATTATTGAGGTCCATATAGAAGATAGGAGACGGACTTAGATTTCTTTTCTTCTACTTTTTTTTTCCGTTCTATTTAACGAGTAGCACATTCACCCAAGGATATCCGTGCTGTGATAATAATCCAGCATTTTGTTAGGGCCTTCTTCGTATTTTTAGTTTTGTCTATGCAAGGCATAGTTTCATTACGGCATGAAAACTTAATGAATACAAGACACTAACCATAGCGTTTGATCCTCTGTTGTATTATTTCTTTTTCCCCTCTTGATTCTGAGATGTAGCTGCTGGTGGTATTGGGTTTTTTTTTCTTTTTCTTTTTGGTAAGTCAAAGATTTTATTGAAGTTTAAACCCAATTTTTACAGGTGCTAAGGGGCATTCCCAGGCAAAATAAACCTACTAGAAGCAAACCCTACACAGCAAAAGCCATACCTCAACAACCAAAAGAAAACACAAAGAACAACAAAACAGAATCCAACTCCTAGGAGCATACACCTTACTACTACCCAGTTGCAGCAAATTAAGCTATTTGCATCATATCTCCGAATAGGCCTCCAAGAACTGATCAAGGCTCACACATCATTTTTGCAATTCTGGAAACCAACTGATTCTCAGTAGAGCAAATCCCCTGAAAAATCATAGAATTCGTCTCCCTCCAAATGCGGTAAATACAAGCTGCTAAAGACAACTTGAAAACCAAGGAGTTGAAGAGTGTTTCCACCCCTATGCAACCCTGCCCATCTCACGTCATCTGTAAGCCCTAGACCCTGTCTTGGAACCCCATTCCTTACCCAAAAAGGGGACCAAATCCAGGAATAATAGGGGCAAGCAAAGAACAAGTGTGATTCAAGCCCAACACCACAAAGAGAACAACTGGGATCAGCAGAAATCTCCCACTGGCACAATCTACTCCTAGTTGAGAGCTGGCCCAAAATGCTCATCCAATGTATAACAGACCATCTAGGGGCATGATATTTAAACCAAACTACTTTTGGACCAGAGGCTCTCAAATTACTCGAAGCACATTGCACTAGTTTTTTGCTGTGGGCTTAGTAACTGGTGTTAACCTCGCCCTGTGGTGTATGTGTGTCTCTTAAGTGCTCCTTTTGCATAGAGATACGCCTCTCGGTTTTGGTGCCATCAGCTAAAGGGTAGAATTGTGCGCACACGTGAGTGTGTGTGTCTGAGAGAGAGAGAGAGAGAGAGAGAGAGAGAGAGAGAGAGAGACACCGAAGTAGCCAATAAGCAAAAAAAGTACCAGTCGAATACCATCCTTGCAGAATGCATACTAAGTAAGCATTTCAAAGTCTTCACTGATCTCAGATTCAATAACTTACAGAAGCATTTAAGCAAGCACCTCAAATCTTATTTGATTGCTACCACCAGCTTCCTCATTCTCCTCATCATCATCATTGGCGGAACCTTTCTTGACATAATCCACCTTGTCATCATCCTCCATGGCATCACCACTTGATTTATTGGCTTTCTTCTGCCTCTTCTTCTCTGCTGTCATCAACTTCGTGTTGAGTATACCTACTGCATCATACAGCTTCTCATTCTGGCTCCTACCAGCATTTTTAGCCTTAACCTCAGCTGCTGCAGCATCTTCTTCAGATCCCATGGGCTCGTTGTCACAATCATTGACCAGATCATTGCCTTGTTTTGAGGGTTGTTGCTTTACATCATCCTGCAAGGTGAGACCAGAGTCAACATTAGGATCCCTGCTAAGGCGCTTGGATTTATAGTTCTTGGTTTGGTTTCTCTTGGCTACATTCACCCGGGGGAGAGAGATCCAGCTTCAAGAACTAATGAATGGTCCTAACAAACACAAATGTATCACTCTCCAGGAATTTAAATTGCACAATTGTTCACCATGGTAAGAATTGCTTTTTTTTTTTTTTGAACGGCCAAAAAGAATTTATTAAATAAATGTAGGAGGTACAATGATTAAAGGGACTAAAAAACTAGAAGAGACAGCTGATACAAGTAATCAAAATAAACCCATTCGACAATTCCCAGCTAATAACCCGAAAACTGCCTCCATTTGGTAGATGGTCCTTGAAGCCGCACTCGCACTATGAATAATGAACTCAGAAGAGCCACAAGCATTCAGCTTCCTCTTTGACGGCACTGGTCGCCTTCCTTCTTTAATGCTTGGTTTTTCCACCGGGCTGGGCGAAGGGGAAAGAAAGAATGTGAGACAGCAAAGCCAGATAATGCCAGAACAAAATTCAGTAGAAACCAGATTAGTCTTCAGTAGAATCCGGTCCAAGAATCAGCATTTGAGTTTAGAATAATAGAATAATAGCAGCACCCCAGAAAGTAGCCGCAGTAGCATAAGAGCGGCAGACCAGTAGCAGCAGCACACATCATTCCAGGAATCATGGGAGCAATAGAAGCATACATCAACGCAGAAATAGGAAGTATAAATCAAGAAAATGCTATCCAGACCGGGTAGTACCGTAGCAGCCAATAGGTAGAGTGGAAGCTAGACTTGAATAGACAAAGATATGTTTCACCAAGAAGAGCTGACCGTGTAGTCCAAAGTCAAAAGACCCAAACCACCCAATTATGTAAACCAGTAGACACAGGCAAAACAATGAACTGAACCAAAGATACTAATGGTCAAATGGACCTCAACATATAGACTAGAAAGGAATTTTCATCCATTTGAAGATCAAAGCATTAACTTAAACAAAGCCCAACAATTTGATCAAGTGGGGACACCAAATTCATCCC